GTTCAGCTTTGGAAGGCAGAGGAATAAGGTTTGTTTGTTGTAAGGGGTATCCTTGGCTCAACAGTGTCTCCTTTGCCGGTTCCATTCCAGGGTAGTTGGTATTCGGACTATGAATAACGCGAGTTGCCCCTTCGTAGAGACGTTCGTTCTGCAGGGTTTCCGAGTCGGGGGACTGAGTGACGGAACCGGGGCAACCGTATTCCTGTTGGTTCTGTCCGCTGGCTGCAGCGACTACAGCTGCAGCTGCCACAGCAGCTGAATACGCCTCATAGGCCGAACTGTAGTCACCATTCATGCCGTGGATTAGGGGATTGTACTGAGGATGCGCGGCGGAGTAGCCGAGAGCCTGCTGATCTGCCGTCATCGCCGACATCACTTCAGCGCTGAGATCGAAGTCAGCTTCTCGTTTCCGCCGCAGGCCCCCATGTGTCTCTAAGTCCCAGACTCGAGGTGACGTCTGACCAGCCTCGTATCCTCGAACCAACTGATTTGGGTATCCGCAGGAGGAGGCGTAGGTTTGCTGGAAGAAGGAGTATTCGGAGAGGCGTGAATCTGCTGTCTGCACAGCGGGCGGATTTCGGCTGGAGCTTCTAGGCACTCCGAAAAATCCCAGAGCGGGGTTTCGCGTAAGAAGGTTTCGATAGGCGTACCAGCTACTGTTGTTGTTGTTGTTGGCACTGCCGTTGTCGCTGTCTCCCGCCTGCTTAGTGCCTCGTACACCATAGGGAGGAACAGGTCGACCGGCCTTGTTTGCGGTTGCTGACTTCAGCTGAGGCTTACGACGTCTGGTAGTCTGCAAGTAATTTTTCAGCTGGTTGCGGAAACGACGATGAGTATTGCCACCACTACCTAGACCACCGCCGCCGTTGCGAGTGTTGTTGGTTGTCGAGTCTATTTTCGGCCCAGTGGTTAGTCTTGCTGCCGTCTCGCTGGCTTCCTTCTGTGACGCAGATATTGGAAAGTCTTCCCAGAGCTTCCGTCTGTTGGCCTCGGTTACCTCGTGTGTGGAGTTAATTGTTGCTGTTTCCTGAATGTCATCCAGATAGAGGGATTTAATCTCCTTGTAAGTAGAGGCCTTCGAGCTGTCTGGGGAATGTTGCTCTTGTTGTGTGGAGGCAGGGCCGGTGGCAGTGGCGCCGTTGCTGCCTTCAACTGTTGTGTCAGTGCAGAAGTCTGAGGCATCGTCCTCCGAAAGTAGGGTCTCAGGTTCCAGCAGGGGAAAAGGCAGTTTATACTCCGAATTACGTCGATAGTAGAGCTCGTTGCCCTCGGAATCACTAAAAATAAATTCCAGAAATAAATAAGTTAGGGACTAGCTCACAGGATTAGGGATTAAATTTCCACAGTCAGTTTAAATGAAACGACTGTGGGGGGAGGGAGGGGCATGCAGGCAACTTACTCAAGTTTTCGGTGAATTGCAATGATGCGGTCCTGTTTGTTGTTCTTGTAGACAACCTTGAGTCGGGATTGTAACCAGATCCAATTGCCGTTCTTGGAGAGCCATCGATGCGCGAGAAGACCAATCGACCCAGTTTCACAAACTACAATGGATAACACGGCAGTTGCGTTTTTGTTTCGTTCTACGACGGTCAATTTTACTATCTGTCTTCTCGCATCAACTGATTTTAATATTATTTACTGGTGACTAGTCCGGATCTTGAATCAAACTGGCTAGCTCGTTAATTATTCCTGTCCCTATCTTAGTTGAGCTTCGGTTCTCACCAATAACCATCCGTTACCTATCAGCTGCAAACGACGGCGCATAAGCTTAACCTGGTTTTAAATCCGATGACTAGGCTAGAGGTGTGTTGTGCTGCTATAAGCCGCTAGGTTTTTATTTCTGCTTGAAGAGTGAAAACAGCCTAACCATCCTGATTTTAAAATACGTAAGATTTGCCCACGGTTCAGTTCTTGTGCAAAAAGATATTGAAAGTTTTTATCTTACCTTCACTGTGTCCTTTGGCCACGTACTGAAGATCGTCCGGATGAATAAGGTCGTAAATTTTCACCTTAGAGTTCTCCTTCCCAGAGAAGTAAAAGAGTGTTTGCGCGCTGAAAGAGGACAAAATTGCGTTTACGGACTGTGTGTTGGAGACCGTTATTTAGATTAAGTTCGTCCCTAGTCCTATATTGCAGAGCCAAAAGGAATGTCTAAAATAAACTCGTGTTACCCTCCTCAATCACCAATCAATCATCACTCAATTACCCCTACATTTCATTTGCGATCTGTCCAACAGTGGACGTCGGCGTGGAAAAAACTGACTGTGATCCAACTTATATGGATTTAGATCAAATTCACCAATCAAGAGAAAATATCGAAATAGAGTTAGTCACTGGAATTTTGTGAGTGAGCGTGGAGCATTCCAAAGTGAGTAGATTTCAGTCAAAACTCATAAGGAAATATGGCTTTCTGCAATACTATATTGCATTTTGGGAGGGAGTGCTAATTTTTATATACCAGAGTAGAAGGGAGGGAGCACGTCATGATTCTCCTTTTTCTTGTATTCGATTACGTGTGTTAGAAAGCTGCAACTATGGTTGTTCTAAAAATGCCGAGACCACAATGTAATAGAAGTTCCGAACAGCTGACCGTTCACTCAGACCGAAGATAGGCCTAGCTTACGGGTCAGGAATAGAATATCGATTAATTTGCACGGAGTGTCGGCGTAGTTGTGACAATTCAGCAAGCGACGTGAATTTCGAACTCAACCGCTTGGTCCCATCTAGCAGCACATGACTTCTAATTGTGTGAATTTATATATTTGTGGTCGGCTCTAAGCAAAAGGCCCTATTAGCATAAAGGTTGACGCCATATCCTATGCCTGAGGCATTTTTACCATCCGTTCTATCCTGCATTTTGATGCCAGGGAAATCTTGACAATCACTGGGGTTGAGGCGTTCGAATGACTTTCAGTCGTGAAAAATGGACCATATGCAACCGTCAGGCGCGGAAACGCCCACTTAAAGGTTGTGGGTTTACGAATGTTTTGGTAAGAGGAGAGTTCCTGGGATTTTGGAGAATAACAAAAAAGCTGGATAACCTTTGTTTCTATACTTTGCTTAATAGAAGGGCATGATGCTTAATTTATGCAGGCCATGTGAAGTCATGACTACTAAGCGCAGTATTGGTTTAAGATTACTTCTGCATTACAGGATCGTCGCAAAAAACAGAAGTTGACATACCGAGAATCCATGCTTGTGATTGTGAGATCAAGGGTGTGTTTCGTCTTGAAGGAGGCCTCTCGCTGTGAACCATCCAGGCTAGGCAGTGAAC